CAACTGTAACCAAGTTACAACATCAGTGGTAAAAATACAGCACACACACAGCCTGATCTTCCCAATGAATGGCCCCTGACTCATTTCACCAGTCCTCCATACCATTGTTCACAGATCTGCAGCAGCTATATCATTTCTTCCAGTGAGCCAGAGGGAAAGAATGTGTGTATGGTGATGGTGGTGGTGATAGGGTGTGTGTGAATAAGAAAAGGCAGGGCAGCTAGAAAGGGAGTCAGATGATCTTGATCAATTTCCACAGCAGCAGGCTTAGTCAGATTAGCTTAGGACACTGATAAATTTTAATGTGTATTTTGAGGGAACCAATGCAAGAGTGACCAGCTTCTAACATAAGGCAGTGGGATGCAGTGAGTTGCACACGGGCTCTGGCACTAGATGCCTTGGTTTTAAATTCCAATTTCCTTCCTCACTAGCTATGTTTTCTTCAGTGAGTTGCCTAACCTTGATAAGCTTCAATTTCCGCATTTATAAACTGGGGATAATAATGGGTCCTACATTGTAGGGTTGTTGTGAGAGTTGTTGAGTTAAACTATTTAGAACAGTGGGTGGCACATAATTAGTACTCAACAAATGTCAACTCAAAAATGCTGACCCCATCAACCAGTGATTTTTAGCAAGGATGACATCACCTCTAAAAAGTGTCTGGGAAATTTATAAGTGTGGTTTTTGTTTTGTTTTGGCTGTCGCAGTGATTGGCAGGCACAGTTAGGGTTAGGGTTAGGATTAGATACTAGGTGTTCTGCACTCCAGGGGTCACTGCAATGGTGAACTGCCCCAGTCCTCCCCATCTTCATGCGGGTAAAACCTTTGTTAATGATTATGGAACCTGGAGCCTAGTTCCATTTTTACATATAAATGCAGGGCATGTTTTGCACAGCTTGCATGTGACTGAATTTTCCAGGAATGCAACTCGCATGTAAATCAAGCGAAGCCAAGCTTGATGCTGTTCGGAACCTTCCCAAGAATTGTTCTGTAAAATTAGATGACTAACAACAAGTTTGAGTCACATGTATCAGCCAGTACCTATAGCTATCGCAATCACAGTGATTCTATGTGTACTTGCAAGATTTATTCCACCGTAGTGTCTTCTAAGGTAGTTATGCCTGAACAATGACATATTGGAATTGATAGTGTTTCGTTATAAACTACTTCTCTTTTATTTCTCCTTTACATGACTGTTTGGGCATTAGGTTGGTTTTTTAAGGTATGCATGTAGATGTTATATTATCTATGAATTTTGTTTCAGGAGAGCAAAGGAAGCATTACAAAGTATTTGTTATAAAAGCGGATTTGGACCATAAGTGATGGAAGGACCATATTCACAGAGCCCACAATTAAAACGGAATTCATTAACTGCCAGAACATGCAAAGAATAAATTCTTTAACTAGTCAAACAGATGGTAAATATGTCAATTCTGTTGGTAAATGATGTGATAGACAGAATAATGATAATGCATCCCCCAAAGGTGTTCACGTCCTAAATCCCAGAACCTATAACTACGTTAGATAACATGGCAAAGGGGAATTAAGGTTGCTAATCAGCTGACCTTAAGCTAGGAATTATCCAGGTGTGCCCGGTGTAGTCATACGAGTCCTTAAAAGTGAAAGAGGGAGGCAGAAGAGTGAGAGTCAGAGGAAGACGTGATTATGAAGGAACGGTAGAGAGAGATTTGGCATTGCTGGCTTTGAAGGTGGAAGAAAGGGGCCGTGAACCAAGGAATGTGGGTGACCTCTAGAAGCTGGAAAGGGCAGAGACGGATTATCCCCTGGAACCTCCAGAAAGGAAAAGAGCCCCGCTGACACCTAGATTCCAGTGGGACCCGGGTTGGACTTCTCGTCTACGGGTCTGTAAGATAACAATACATTTCTGTTGTTTAAACTGCTAAATTTGTGATTTGTTACAGCAGCAATAGAGAACCAATATACCTGAAAATATGAGATATCAGTAAATGAATTCAGAACACAGAATTCAGAACATACACACACACACACACACACTGCCTGCAGCTCAGTTTAAATTCCGATGGGGAGATGAAGAGGGTGGCGTGGCGTTGGTGCTTCTGTGTCTCAACACAGACAAGCTAGACCAGTGAGCACGGGTCAGGGACCCCGGGCCCAGGTGCAGCTCCACAACAGACTTGTATGAAGTTATAGAATCAATCATCTCGCTGGGCCTCACCTTTTCTCATTCAGATAACAAATATTTTCAGAACACCTGATACTGACCAGGCTCTGAGCTGGGCTTTATGGAGTCAAAAGAACGGGACATTGAGCTTGGTCCCAAGGAGATTCTCAGTCACTCGGGAAGAGAAAGGGGGTGACGAGATGCTGTCTGAGGTCTCCTTCAGCTTTAAGTCTTTGAGTTCACGAGTCTCAATGTAATTTAATGCGTATTACCTTTTATGTATGTGTGAGGTTGCCTGAGTTCACAAATATTGGGTTGTCGGAAAAGTCATGACATATTTTTTTCTCTGTTTTTCGTTGCAAAAATGCGTCATGACTTTTCCGACAACCCAATATTTTTAGATTGCAGGTTACAGTTATGTGACATTAGAGCACTAAGAAGCTTCTCTGAAACAGTCAAGGAAATCACAATATCAATTTATCTCAATTCAAAACATCTGTTAAACTTTCTCTTTTTTTCCAGACTAAGGTGTAAGTATTGCTATGACTTTCAATTCCACCTCATTTTAATTCAGTGCCCCCCCACCCCTACTCCCACACCCACTCCCGCAAAAAAACAGTGAGTACTTACTAGCACTCTCCTCTCTTGGTAGTCATTACTTATTTTATAATATCAGTGCTACTATGTTCCTGTTATTTTACATGTATAGAGACAATTTTAAATAAGTTCATTTTAAAACAAATTTGAAGTTTGTAAAAATAAGAGAAATAATCTAAAGGGAGGGGAAAAAAGAGTAGGGAGGAGAGTGACTTATAAGGAACAAAGAAGCTAAGTTAATGTAGAAAGTAAAACGCAATTATGGTGGACAGGATTAGGAAGAAAGTTTAAAGACAACACTAAAACAAAAAAACAAAAAAAAATTTTTTAAGAGTAATCTGGTAGGAAAACAGCCACGAAGAAAGTGAGACAGCTCCTCTTCCCATCTGTAAGTTTCACTATGTTTTATTCCTGCCCCACGGTGACACCTGTCACAGTGCCCTTCCGCCGCTTTCTGAAGTGTGCTAAAGACCAAGGAGGACAAGGTTCAATGGGCCTCTGACGCCCCCGGCAGGTCATCAAGGCAACTTGCTCTCTCTTTTTTCTGTGACTTATCAGGCCAGACTTGACCTTGATATAGAACTCTGGGTCCAACAATGAGCTAGAACAACTACAGGTTTCAACATTGTTAAGCTGATTCTAAAATTCATATGGAAATGCAAAATATCTGGAAGAGCTGAAACAACTTTGAAAAAGAACAAAGTTGAAAATAAATTCAAGACATTTATAAAGCTACATGAAGCAAGACACTATCAAGAAAGTATCAAGAAAGAACCAGATCAGAGTCCAGAAATAGACCCATAGATATGTGAATAACCAATTTTTGATCCAGATGCAGGTAATTGAATTGAGAAAGGAGAATCTTTCAATAAATAGTGCTGCAATGACTGGAAACTAATTTCATAGATAATTATTGCTCACAAAACAGGTCAACTGGAGCTCTCTGAGCTGAGATCCAAGCCCAAAGCCAAGTTTATTTATCTCTGGTAGATAGATCTCTCCTTTAAAAAGGACCCTCCGGTCCCACCTTCACTATGTGATTGGTTACAGAGCTGTTGGTGGGAAAATATTGTGTAATGAGGTCCCAGGAATAAGCAATTCTAGTAACCCATTGTTCTAATTCTAGAGTCTTAAAACTTCACCTCAGGGTGGTCTTGGACCGTGGTATATTGGTAAATGTTTAATAAAAAAGAGGAAGGCCCTCATTTACAGTATCTGAGTGAATACTTCCATCTAGTCAATTTCAAGCTACCACTGATATGACTGAATGTGAATGTTGGAAGATTATGTGCCTAGTAGTCCCACCACACAAATATGATAGAGGTTAAATAACCCTAAGAGCACAGATAATAGTAAAATAATTCGGGAATTTACAGTTTTAGGACCTCATACCTTCATTTTTAATATAATTTAACTGTAAGTTTACGTCATTAAAATTTTAGCAATGACAGTGTTTAAGAATTGGCTAACCAAATTCTTGAAATTTTAACCGTCTGCTCCCATGAGCCTGTACAAGCCAGCGCCTGGGGGCACGTTCTTTGTAAGGGAAATAGCACAAGGTAACTGTAGGTAACTTCTACCTTTGTGACTCCTAATGAAAAAGAAGGTCCTGGCAAGAGTAAAACGCTACATCCATTCTTTTTAGTACTCACAACGAACAGATGAGGAAACAGGCCAGGTGCAGTTGAAAAGCCTGTACAAGGTGTTAGGTGGTGAAGAGCGAGTTTGAACTCTGGTCCGTCTCCAGAGCCAGAGACAACACATCCTTCCAATGTTCCTACGATTTCTATTTCTGTTTGAAAAAGCCTGACTTCAGGACTTTTAGCTCTGCGGGAATTGTTAAGGGTGTGTGTGGGTGGGATGGGGAGAGACAGGAGCATGTTAAGCGTATAAACACCCTTTGCAAACAAAAAACTCTAAGTCAATACGAACGCGATCCCAGGGACTTGTCCATGGCCTACAAGAAAACACTTGCCTCCAGCAATTCACTGTGCGCGCTCCCACCCGCCCCAGCGTCTTACTTAGGTCTTCAGCGCGAGGGACCCAGTCAACGCTGAGTAAGGCGGTCGCGAGGCCCGCAGGAAGACGCCCACTCACGCACTCGCAGCGCGCAGGCGCCAGGACCGAGGCGGGAGGGAGGACGCCGACTCCACCAGCGCTCGCAGCGCGCAGACGCCAGGGCTGAGACTTCACGCCCCTTTCGGCCTGGCCACCCCTCAGGAGCACTAGGCCTCCGAGTCAAGCTCCGCCCTCCTCTCACCTGGGTTAATAGGAGGAGCGGCAGGTGGGTGAGCCGGCGGTTGCCTCGGTCCCGGCTGGGCTTCTGTGTGCCCTCGGAGCCATGCTGAGGAGCTGCGCCGCGCGCCTGCGCACCCTCGGGACCCTGCGAGGAGGCGCGCGCCCGCCGACCAGAAACCCGATCCCCGCGCAGGTGAGTTCCGGGCGCGGCGCGGCGGGCGTGGGTGCTGTAACGAGACTTTTCCGTCAGGAACACGCCGAGGAGAGCGGAAGGGTGTATCCGTTACCACAACCAGCAGTTCTTAGAATAAAAGCTAACCTCGGCCCCGAAGGGCATCAGGGTTAACAGGGCCACAGGATCTTTCAGTCCCGAGATTCAAACCGTAAGAGACTGAACGGGAAGGTGACTCCGTTTGGAAAGCGTGCAGGATATTTGGCTCCGGTCGGAAGGTCAAGGAGTACAACTACTACTGATATTAATAAAGAAAGGTGAAGTTATTCAAACAAGGTCACACAGAGAGCACGTGGTAGAGTTGGGTGGGAACCTTGGCAGGCTGGCTCATAACCAGTCCATTATCCCGGAATACACGAGCACTTGCTTCCACGGGTTTAATCCTAATTCTCGCTGCTGGTCAACTAATCGTACCCTCTCTAAGACAGTTGCCTCACACCTTCAAAGGTTGTTACAAGATTTAAAAGGGATGATGCAAGTAAAGTGTTTTAGCGCAGGGCCCGGCGTTAGTGGTAAATATTGCCTGTTGTTACAGCCCTATGTTTTGCCTCGTTGATGTATTCAAATTAATATTAATTAAGCCCCAACAACATGCCAGACGGGTCACTGAAGCTATAAAGATGAGTGTGACCTTTCTCTCAAGGAGCGGACAGTCTAGTTTGGAAGAAAGGGGTGAAATTGCAAAATTAAAAAAATAATAATGCATACTATGTGCTATCATGAAGTCCTAAGGGAACATAGAGGAGGAAACAGCTCTGTATGGAGAGAACTGAGAGCTATTGTAGCTTCCTTTTAAAGAATAATGAAGTACAGCAGATTGGTTTTTGATCCTGTATCATCTGGCGCTTGGAAAAGAAAACGTCCTCTGTTAATCTACAACAAAGATGAATTCGTTTCCTTAATCATATGTTGGTGCCTTGTAATCTGTGTTGAGAATATTTAACAGTATTTACAGCCTTTATAAGTCATGCTTCTTTCTGTTCAGTAACTTAAAAGGAGACACATATTTATTTTTATTTTTATTTTTTTTAAAGATTTTTTATTGGGTAATTGGGGGGATGGGAACAGTGATGGGGAATTGGGGGAAGGGGAACAGACAAGTTGCTGTC